ACACTTTTCTGTTACTAAATCATGCTGGAGTTCTTGAGTTGTTCAGTGTTACCGATCAGTCCACACATGACATTGTGCACGACGAGCGCACTAAGCGCTGAGTTGTACTCTGATGAGTCTCTGAGCTTCAGACGCCCAAGTCGGCAGCCATACCATAACAGTGAGATCTCATAGACTAGAGATGACTGATTAGAGCTGCTACCCACAATGGATAGATGGAGCGCAGGAGTTCGTACATACACGCACGCTGGACCAACTCACGAATAACAACGACTTCCCACCGAGAACCCAATTGCAGGTATCGCTGCGTTCCTCGCTAATTCCCAGAAAAGATTTTTTCAGAAGATTGCAAAACACGAAGGGAAAAGCACAAAAATACCTCTGGAGAGTTGCTCAGTGGAACTTGCTCATCGATTGGAATTATCTATCCTTGCCTTTTGAAATGTTGGATCTTCACTTCATCACAATAACTGAACTCAACGACTCGACACACGTGCGACTATCCCGTTAATGATGATATACACGCAATAACGCCGTAGCACTCAGTCATGAAGCATGTTCGGTGAGTTTCAGTTTGCCTAGTTGTGAATCAGTTGCAAGACGAGTATGTGCGAGTTGTACCTGGAGGAAATGCACAGACTCAGGAGTATTGTGATCGAGGGTTTCTTACCTCTTCAATGCTCATTGTCAAGTCCCTTAAAGTTTCACTGAAAGTACCGATTCCTTCTAATACATTCGCCATATCTGCTCGCCACACACTCTGAGCCTGAAAAAACTCATTGACTTTCCTTGAAAGTCGATTGTGTTGCTGCCTCAGTCATGGTCTCATTGAGCTCAGTGCTAACCAATTCCATTGAAGCTGCTGCATCAAATTTCAACTTCGTGTTCGTATCGCTGAACTTATCCATCTTGGTAAAAATATTCTCCTGGCAAGGACGGTCAGTGATCCTCACGGGACTGACTCCTGATCGACCTGCATCCGGGCTATCCGTTGCATCCTCTCTTCGGCTCGCTCTTCGTGATACGCGCTCTTATATCGGCGGATGATTTCAATTGCACGTCCAGAACCAATCAGTTCGCAGAGCTCTGGCGATTCGTTTAGAAGCCGCTGAAGCTGGACCCTAGTTATCCTCTGAGAGTGGAAACGTAACGAGGGCGAGTGAACAAGCTGCTGCTGCTGCTGCATCAAACCGCTCACATCGCAACGTTGAACCCGTTCCAGGAGCTTTTGGGCTTCTTGCCGTTCCTCCTCGAACTGTGCCCTGTCATCCCTGCCCTTCGATTGTTCTGTCATTCTTCTAGGCAGTCGCGCTGGGAGTCAGTATTGCTGCATATGATTCCGAGATTCACTCGCTCACAGAATATCGAGCCCCGAGGCGATTTGCTGAGCGCTAGATTTCGCAATGCAGCCTCATCCTCCCTAGCTGCGATGCTCTTCTCCAACTCGTCTTCGAGTTCACGTCTAAACCATCAGACAGGCAGGAGAGTCTCTTAACTCAATCCCACCGCTTTCGGTCCCAGGCAATAGCGAGGCATGCTGGCAGAGCCCGCAGTTCGATCCATTGATCATTTGGGCCGCCCACATCCTCGTCGTCAGCGAGATCTCGGACGAGCGACACTCCCTTGAGCTTGTAGTAATATGTGAATCTGATCT